ACAAGAAACTTGGACTCTTGTGCCCGCTCCAACAAACAAACCGATACTGGGCTGCAAGTGGACGTATAAAACAAAAACTATGCCGTCCGGTAAAGTCGTTCGCTGTAAAGCAAGGCTCGTCGCTCTCGGTTACAACCAAAAATTCGGGATCAACTACACGGAGACGTTCAGCTCGTCGCAAAAATGCCCATGATATGTCTTCTTCTAACTCTCGCTCTAAACCATCAATGGCAGATCTTTCAACTCGACGTTTCCAATGCTTTCCTACATGACGATCTCCCCGATGACATATACATGCGCCAACCACCAAGATTCCAAAACTCACATCATCCAGAATTCGTCTGCAAACTTTGCAAATCCCTCTACGGTTTAAAACAAGCGCCTCGACAGTGGTTCCAAAAGCTCACCGGGTTTCTTCAGTCTCAAGGATTCGGATTAGTCGTTCCGATCCCTCATTGCTTATACTTCATAAAAATCAAATTCAAATATACATTCTGATTTATGTTGATGACTTTCTTGTTACAGGAAACAACGAGTCCACAATCAAACTGCTGCTTACGCAGCTCCGCTCCCAGTTCGCACTAAAACAACTCGGACAAATCTCACTCTTTCTTGGCATTCAGGTCCTTCAAACCAAAACTGGCTATTTTCTAAACCAAACTCACTATGCTACCAAACTCCTTAATGATGCAGGTTACACAGACTGTAAGCCAGCGCCAACCCCCATCACGCCCTCGTCCAAGAAAAAACAATCCGCCGGGACACCATTTTCTGATCCAACTATGTACAGAAGAATCGCCGGATCGCTCCAGTATCTCTCTATTACCCGACCGGACATCGCTTTCGCCACAAATGTTGTATGTCAACACATGCAAAATCCAACCGATCAGGATTTTAAAGCTCTGAAAAGACTCCTACATTACATCAAAGGCATCTCCTACGGGTTGCCTATTTCTGCAGGAGATCTCGAACTACATTCCTATACAGATGCCGACTGGGCATCCGATGCTAGTGATAGAAAATCCATTTCAGGATTTTGTACATTCTTAGGTCCTAATCTCATCTCCTGGACCGTCAAAAAGCAAGTTATTGTTGCAAAATCTTCCACCGAAGCAGGTACAGATCCTTATCCGCGGCCACCTCAAAAGTCATTTAGCTTCACTGCCTAGCTGCCGAGCTAACCATTCCGCAACACTTCCCAACAACGATACATTGCGACGATACCTCCGCAATGGCTATCGCAAAGAACCCCGTCTTCCACGCCTGAACAAAACACATCGAGATAGACTACCATTTCATTCGGGAGCACATTAGCACCGGCGCCATCAAACTTACCCACATCTCCTCCAAAGATGAAATT